TTTTTTTTTTGTGCTGGAAATGGTGCAATCTGTGTGGGTTTGGGGCGTCCCCCTGCGTCGTTCATCTTCATCCCCTTTGCTTCGCACGATGCAGGAGGAACCCCAGGCCTGGTCTCTTTTGGGATCATCCCCTGTGCCAGCACTCCCCAAGGTCCCCAAGTGCTGCCCCAACCCCATTCCCAGCTGTGACACTCACACTTTTGTCCCCCCCTGTCCCCTCCCCATACACACACAGGTACCACGACCAGCAGGACGTGACCAGCAACTTCCTGGGTGCCATGTGGCTCATCTCCATCACCTTCCTCTCCATCGGGTACGGGGACATGGTGCCGCACACCTACTGTGGGAAGGGGGTCTGTCTGCTCACCGGCATCATGGTAAGCACAGGGATGGGGCAGTGGGGTGCTTTAGGGAGCAGTGCTCTGTCTGAGCATCGAGGTTTTGCAGCCTGAGAGCTGCCGGAGCTTTCCTTGCTGTTGGTTTGCTGGGTTTGGGGTGAATTTTGGTTTGAGGGAAGGGCCGGGCAGCCCATAGCTGCGTGGTGATGGCCTCATCCTAAGGAAGCAGCAGATGTGGGGACCAGCAGCCCCTCGCATCCCTTGGCCGCCGGTCTGACTTCCATCACACCGAGCGATCCCAACTGCTGCAGCATCCCATGGGGAGCAGGGACAGCTGGGAGAGCTCCCACCCACGGCACTGACCTGCAGGACCCCATCTACCTGCTCCAAGGGGCTGTGAGCCGGCCTGGCTTGCACTGCTGTGCAGCTGGGGACGGCTGCTCCGTGGCTCTGCACTGCTGTCCCCATCCTCTGCAGCACGTGGCATTGCTACGACCGAAGAATCCACGCTTGGGGGGGGAGGTCTTGGGGCTCCCACCTCACCGGCAGATGTTGTGAACCGTGATACCGTGCAACATCCTGGCAGTGGGACAGGGGGGCCCCTGGGCTGAGAACCCCCCCCATGCCACCCTGCCAAGCGATAGCAGCGCACTGGGGCTCCCCGAAAAGCGGCGTTAGGGTGGCTGTGCTGCTGGCAGAAGGAAGGGTGATGAAAGCTGAGAGCGCATGCTGGGAGCTGCGGGGATGCGAAAGGACTCGGCTCAGCCCATGATGTTAATTAATGACTCTTTAATAAATAAAGGATTGCGTGCCAGGGTCACGGGCCTCTGCCAGAGCTGCGGGGAGGGGGAGCGGGCACAGGCAGAGCCAGGTGGCACAGAGCCCTGGAGGAGCGGGGTCCCCTGCCTGGCACCTTCCGTTCCCAAACGCGCACCGGATCTGGTGCTCATTGCCAAGACGAAGCCATGCCAGCTGCTGCTGCCTATGGGCAAATGGGGGTCCGGCCCCATCCCATCACTGCTCCTCTGTGGGTTCTCAGTATCTCCCTTCTGCCTGGATTCCCCGTGGGTTCCCTGTCCCATGGGGACACGCAGTGCCAGAGGGCACCGATGGGCACCTCTGACGTCGTCAGTCAGCCTTGTTAATTGCTGGGAGCTCTGGCAGCTGCTCAAGGCCACGGTGGGAGGCCGAATGCTGCTGTAAACTTGGATTAAACTGGGTTGCCCACGTCGAGATGGCGGGGTTTGTGCAACCTGTGGGTGGGGGCTGGAGGGGCGTGCGGTGCATCCAGTGATCGGGGTTTGCATGTGGTTCCTTGATCCTCGGGGTGGGAATAGAGGGGGTGCAGGTGAGCCCCATCCTGACCCCCAGCCCCCCCCCAGCCCCTCATACCTGACCCTGTGACCCCTACACAACCCACACCTGACCAGGCCAAGTGACTTCCCCCTGTTCCCCCATCCTGCTGTCCCTGCAGGGCGCCGGCTGCACGGCCCTGGTGGTGGCTGTGGTGGCCCGAAAGCTGGAGCTCACCAAAGCTGAGAAGCACGTTCACAACTTCATGATGGACACACAGCTGACCAAGAGGGTAAGGGCAAAAGGAAAGGGCTCCGGGGGGGGGGGGGGATGGTGCAGCATCCCTGGGGTCCCATTGGAGCTGAACGCAAAGCATGCTGAAGCATTAGGGTAAAAGCAAAGAGCGTCGGCCCTCTGCTTTGCTTTGCAGCTCTTTGTGAAATGCAGAGAGTGCAGCCGCACCCAGGGCAGGAAATGCACATATTTTCTCCTTCCCTCGGAGGAGATGGACCGTCTTCTCTGGTGGAACATGAGCTCACTCGTCTCAGGATTGGGGTTCCGGTGATTCAGCAGCTCCGTGCTGCAGATGAGTGCTGTGCTGTGGTACTGCTGTGTGCTCCATCCCAGCGGGGCACCCTGGAGCCGTGTGGGTCTGTGGGTGCTGTCCCAGACCCCAGCATGGCACCGGGGTGGGGATGGGGCTGTGGGACACCCAGGTCACATCCAATGTGAGCAAAGCACAGGGCAGCATCAGGGTTTCAAGTTTAAGCATCTCCTTGCAGAATAACCCAGGGAAGCTAATTATTCCCCCAGGAAGCTAAATCCCAAACTGGCTCCATTTGCGCCATGCATCGATGTCACTTCAGGTGACACAGGTGGCACAAGGTCATCGTGTCCTTGGCCACATCTGGGCTCACAGGAGAAGAGCTCTGCTTGCAACCCAGCAGTGCTGGAGGGCTGGAGGGGCTCCCAGCGCCCGTTTGAGGTCACTTTTGGCACAAGGGATGGACGGAGTGAGGGGCAATGCAGGCGGGTTGGGGACCACAGGGGCACTGAGCCCTCATCCAGCTCCAAGGGGTGCAGATGGGGCATCCGCAGAGGGCAAAGTGGGTGAGGAGCCTCATGGCTGGAGCACATTTCCCCAAAGTGTCAGAGAGGGATGGGGATGGGGATGGGGATGGGGTGGGGATGGGGATGGGGATGGGGTGGGGGTGGTGATGGGGATGCGGATGGGGATACAGCAGGGCCAGGGCCATTGCTCTGCCTGCAGCACTCCATCCCTGCCTTGCATGACCCCACACACGTCCGATCAGGCACATGGAGCTCCCAGCTGGGACAATTCAGGTCCTGTGATCCCAACCAGAAGCGCCCAGCGGGGCCGGAGCGCTGTTTCCATGCAATAATTCGTCCCATGCGCTGCAGCAGATGGGGCTGCTGACCCGATGCCCTTCTCTTACAGATCAAGAACGCGGCGGCCAACGTCCTGCGGGAGACGTGGCTCATCTACAAGCACACCAAGCTGCTGAAAAAGATCGACCACGCCAAAGTCCGGAAGCACCAGAGGAAATTCCTACAAGCCATTCACCAGTAAGTGGGGAGCCGTGGGGTGCTGCGA